AGAGGATAATCGAAGGTTATAATATTAATATAGGTACCTTACACATAATATGAACAATTTTTTTTCCATCTTTCTTATTTTTAGGGACAGATCACACGGAAGAAACCACAGTAAAGGGCACATAAACACACATTTCGAAACTGGGTACCTACAACACTTAACGACGGCTGGTGTTACCAGCGTAAATAATTTCTTTAAACGTAATGGCCGAACAGCTTAGTCTGAGCTTACACTTTATGAAGAAAAGGTAAAAGGTTTCGTGGCTGTACTAGTGATTGATGACCAGTTTCTATTTCTACTGTGATAATGGACGGTTTAAGGTCATTTACGACCTCACGACGGTCACACGGTACTGGTAATGTCTAAACAGTAAATCTAAGTTAAAGGAATCAAACCTAGTGAGATAAGGACAGGTAGCTGTGCACTGTGAAAAATAGTGGTTGCTGATATCTGATTGAAAATTAGCACCGAATTATTATAATTCGAAATACGAAATCTCAAACTTTTAAGGAAGGACACTTGCTGCTGAGATAATACACACCATTTTTTGTGTAGTTCAGCGAGATTTAACAGTCAGATCATCATTATTATCAGCTTTTAAATGCCTACTAAAGATCGAAAGCCTCTTCTCACACGGAGAAGGTTTGAGAATTATACGCCTGAATTGCTCAAGGCGGATTGGCGATTGATTATTCAGCATAAGCAATGTAATTTTTTCTGAGTTAGTGACAATTATCAGATTTTGAAACTCTTCAAACGTTGAAGTGTGTCAGTGTATGCCTAAAACATTATTAAAAACCCGAGATTTCAAACCCCTACTCTAAAAAATTCAAAATATTTCTTATCATAAAACGCACGTTATAAATCTTTCGACACTCTCTACCGTATTTAATTAACATAAACCCACAGATTCACACCGAGAAAATAAATCAGTAAACGCCTTAAGGAATTCACATGTGAACGGCTACCGTATTCTAAATATCCACTAAGCTCTTGTAGGAACAGTAACGATCTAGGTAATAAAATAATTCTAGTATTTATTTTATTATAGTGTAATAGAGATGAGGATAAAGTACATAAGTACAGACATCCTATCGGATGGAGAGAATAGGTTTTATGTACAGATAACTGTAAGCCATATGGAAAGTATTATGTGAAGTTATTTTAAGTCCAATGTTACTAGAATATGAAACAATATGCTTTGATAATAGCAATATACTTGTTTCTTTACTAGGTGATCAGCAGCAAACGAACAGGAGTTATTTTTAATCGTTCCCCTGCTCTTGAATTACATATATAATATCTACCAGTGTCGACGAGTGCGTTTACAAATGTACAATTTTAAGTACACCTTTTATAGCCAAACCCGGAATAACAATTTGTGGATCGCATAAAGAAATGCTCCGTGCAGGAATCGAATCTACGACACTTTTACACTACAGCCGGTTGCCCAAAGCCGAGCAACCGCGTTAATTATATTAACATTATATTATAGAGGAAAATTACATGAAGCTAAATAATCAGCGCCGCCGCACAGACACTCAACGCGAACGACATTCAAGACGCACACACAAGGCAGAAATGGAATTTGTTACAAAGAGTACCTAGGCTTTTTCCTTAAAGTTTATAGTTTTAATTAATGCCATTAAAACAAGTCGTTTGTTCTCCAAGGAGGAAGACGGAGTACGCCTAGTTTTTGTCAGTTTGTTTCAGTACTTTTGCATCTATCTAGGCGCAATGCGGCATGCGCAATGAAGCCGTCAAATGTCTTCTGAAACCCACAGACTACTTACGTACAAATCGTTCCACAGTTCGGTAACCCTATAAACTACCTAATACTTTCCAACTATACTATAGTTAACTTCAATACTTTATCTAAATGCCTAAAACAATTCACAACAATTTCTATGAAATCTGTATGAAAATCCAAAAAAAATTTGGTTCTAATAGGTTACTTATTTCTTAATTTTAGCTGAAAAATATCGAAAATTTAGTGTTTCGACAGATTGATGAATAAAAGTATACGTCGAATTAATTTATTGTTGACCTAGGAAACTACAAACTTCTACAGTCCCTACAATTTCTAAAAATACTGCTATCCCTTCAGAAAGCGTATGCAATAAATCTTTTAAAATATTAGATTTGACTTCACATTTTTCCGTTCTCCTATTTCCTGTGTTGTGTACAAGAATCCATCAAAGTTAGACATTCGTTTGCAAGGTCATTTATCATTTTGACATTTCCATTATTTTGCAAACCTTGTACCTACGTATTATATAATAAAATATCATCATGTCGTGATTTAGCGAATATAACGCGAGTACTGAAACCGAATTATATTTTGATGGATACACGCAATGCTGAAAACGTACTAGCGACACCCCTCGCTTCACACGGGTCCAATGTTTTACTAAATTTCTCCGCTATGTAATGGATATTACTTACATAAAAACTGTCACTTTATCAAAAACCGTATCAAACTCCGTTGCGTAGTTAAGCACACATAGGGATATAGGGACAGAGAAATACCTAATTTGTTTTATACTATGAAGTAATGTTATTTTAAATCACTTATATTTATGTCCAACGATTAATTATTTACAAGCACATAATGGGCTGTGGGCAAATTACACAAACAATTTGAAATGCAAATAAGTACATGGTCCTGAAACGGAACATTAGAAAAAGGAACCGCCTAGAACATTCCTTTGTAAATCACTTACAATGTAACTACGGACGCCAGACGTAAGTAATCCTTGCCCTTATTAAAATATCATTAGTTTACAAACACGGATAGCTGAGGCTAGCTACCAACTTGACACATGTCGAGCGCTCTCTAACCATAGTGACAGAATCGATGTAGCAACTTTTTATCGATACACCGATTATCGATTTAATGCGGTCGCACATCTCAATCGAGTTTTTACAGCGATTACACCGCCTTTTAAATCCAAGTAGAGTTGCCTTATAAAAAGTACACTTCTTTATCGACAAAACGCATCTATGTTTATAGGATAATGTTTAAATAAGTATGTAGGAGTTGAAATACGGTAGTTGCTTGAAAATGCACAGTAATTATTGAGACTGTATAATATAGCATATGGGTTAAGGTAATTGTTATGTATCTTCGCTACTTAATACTCAAGGATAGATCAGAGATCTAAGTACTGTAATATATGTACGTACTACGTAAGCCCATAGACTTAACGTAGAACGTCGAGGATGGATTGCTGTAATAAGTTTAATGTCATCGCAGTACAGTTAGCGACTAAATTATACGATAACTATTCTATAAAGTCTTTATAAATTTACTAAGTCAAAGAATTCACCACGAAGTACGTAAACAAACTTAACTAAAAATTTTTGGTTTGCAAGTTCAATTTTTGCTCATCCCGATACTTTTATTATATGGGACATACTTGAAGAGGAAACATGTTTAAATAAATAACTATTGTTACCTATTAATAAAACACAATGACAGGCAATCGATGTTAACAAAACATAAAAATAAATACCTAAACCGCATCAAAATAGTTTAAAAAATTTTTTTTTACGTTTTCCTTACCTTCGATATATACAAAGTTTTTATATATAAATTAAAGTCTACTGAAGGCAGACATAAAGTATTTTTAGAATGTATAAAAGTATTCATTGAAACGAATAGGTACTTCGACACGGTCGAACAGAGTCTTAATAAAATACTTGCATTGAAGCTAGTTACCTACACAAGTGCCTACTCAACGAGGTTTGATTAACGACACATACTGGCACTCAATAAATAAGTGTCGCCTAGCCATTAGCTAGTTCCTCCAACATTGTACCTAGCACAAATGCTCTTCTAATTTATGAGAGCCTGGTACATTGACAGCTTTTACTTCAAGAAGCTAACTACAACGATGAATTAAATTCTTTTAGTAGATATTCGACTCTATTTAACAATGATCTTTTTATGGAATAAGTTGGCAAACGAGCATACGGAATGCCTGATGGTAAGGCCAATCGGCGCGGGCCCTGGACACCTGCAACACCAGAGGAGTAACGAGTGCATTGCCGGCCTTTTGTGGATTAGGTAGTTACTAGGTATATCAGAGGCTTAGGGATTGGGGAAGGATGGGAAGAAAGGATTGGGCCCCCGATTGCCTGACTCACAGCGAAACACAACGTGTGTTATGTTATTATAAGCCAGTATTATGTGAGGCCCTAGTATCACTTCTGTCGAACCATAGTACATATAAGCATTTTGAAAAATTGGAGTAGCGTGATGTTCTTCTATACATTTCTAGACTGACAGTTTTTACTCAGAAACTGAGGAATCCCATAACTTATTGAGGATAAAATATGTACATATCTACATACCATTTATATTTAAGTATATATTTAATTTGTAATTTATCCTTCCTTGTTATAAATATAAATGCATAAAAAGGAACTCTGGGGATTTTAATATTATATTCATCCACATAATATATATTTAAATTACTGGAATATATTAATTTGCAGTTTTAACATTCTACTTTTCAAATGATCCGTTGGATATCTTACTCTGCTTCTCAGTTTGAGGAGAGAGTTTTTTAAAACCAAGAGCAGCATATTCGCCGTGGTTAATATACATAATATGTATATTATACATAGCTAATGAATCTACAAAGACATTTCTCATCAGTCTCCCTTAATTAACACAAGGGGAAAGGATCTATTAATAAATTACATTATTATTATACAATAAAAACATCCCTACAACCCTTTCCAACAGCTTATAATTGTTCCACCTTTATCGGACGATAAATTCAAATGAGGTTAATTCAAATAATAATATTTATAGGGCGAACCAAGGCTGGCAACCCTCGGCCTTATTTAGCGAATTCGGTTAAAGGAACTGAAGAGGCATGAATCACAGAAGGTCAAGCGATTCTATCGCGATATCACCAGAACGGACATTAAAAAAATAAGTGGCTAGAACACCTTGAACCTAATTGAAACCTAAAACTGTTATATTACAGAAAAACCAATACTATTTAAGCGCACTTGACCCAAACGGCTACATTGATATTTATCCCGAAGCTACATTAAAAGCATCCAAAGATTTGATTTCTAGAAGGTAACGTTTCAAGAAACGAAAATGGTTGGGATTGGACTAAATCTCCACCCTACACAAAACAAATGAGCCTGTCTAACATTGACTGCAATACAGATAAAATAACCACACATGTCGGTAGTTATTAGTCACATGTCATAAAAGGCGAACCCCATAACCATCGAGCACAAATCCAGACACCAGATGACAGATACCTAATTACACTCGTACATATACAAACATAGAAAAGGGGGTGCAGGATCTACGACAGCTCGTAATGAACTATATATAGCGATACTACATACGTACGTATATGTAACACATAGATTTGTACGTATCTCATATAGGTAATGTTTTTTCTAACCGTTTTATAATTTAATGTTTTTTGACACCCTGTAAACACTATACATATATTAATATCGAAAACAAATGAAACAACCATCTCATAAAAAGGAGGACGAAAAAACTTTCATATAATATATATATTTTTTATATTCGTCACAAATTCAGACTCGAATAATTTTATTTACATCCGTGACCAGTATTACTGTGCGTTTGTCTGTCCGTCGCGAGTAATCACACGCTTCCTATGGGTATGGTAATGGTGGTCGGTGGCACGCGACGTCTCCGACGGTCTGACCACTCGCAACCTTCGCCTACATCACACCATAATGCCGTATTTATAAACCCCCTGTCAACTTTAATTTCGACTACAGCTGGCTTTTATGTAATGGTATTTTATTAGTGTAGATTTTGGCCTAGTACGAAACGAGTAGCATTGACTTCAGGCATAATTCTTCGTAAGATGACTTTGTGTTCTTTTAAATTGAAAAGATTTTCATCATATTATGTATATCTAAAGCATTTTTGAATTGAACAACAGGAAGAAATTCCAACAGGAATATAACTAATTATAGATCTCAGATTTATAAATATGTTTTCTCTTTTTTCTGGGTGGGACCCACAGACTTTTTTTCGGTTTATTTATATATATAAAAATACACATACCAATATATATATATATAAAAGAAAAAGGGTTTTTTTTCTTTTTTTCAACAATTTCTACGTAGATCACCAGATCATTTTTGTTTTATTCGGCTTTTTTATTTTCTCTTATTTTATACAATAAATCAATTCTCGTTTAATAAATTTGAACATCATAAATTATGTTCAAGGGCTTAAGATCGATCAGGAGCGCATGAGAGCCGCGTTTAAATTAAGAACTGGTCGATAATAATAATCAATATGCACTAACGGCTTCACCGATAACTGATGGAAGGGCTGGAAGCGGAGATGAGAGGCTCTCTGATGCTGCGTTTACATTCGGGATAGTAGTTAAGAAAGTTCTAGAATACTGATAGGTACATGTGGACCAAAAAGTTTTGGTCACTTTCTTTTAAAACGTACAAAAAATATTGTGAAAACGTATGGCAAAAAAATACTGGCTATATTTTTTCTTCCCCCTAAAGCAAAATATCTTTAGAATCGTTTTTAGAAAATTATCTTACATATTATAAGTAAGTAATATCTTACATATTAGCTTTTACAACTAAACACTTTAAAAATGTAAAAGCTTACGCATTTTTCTGCTCATGTATATAGCAACATCCGTGGCTTCTAGAACTTTCCTTTTAAAAAGCTTTACGAACATAAAAAACCACACGAGAGCTAAACAAACAACGGACCGTGGTAAGAATCTCGTAAATTAATTAAACAAGCCTATTAGGCGCATCGTAATTACTGTAATGTATGCAAATCATTTTAATTAGCACCTCTTTCCGGAGATTTTTTGTGAACCTTACTCAAGCAGGTTTTCTTTATAAAAAATATTATTTTCTTTTTAATTTTTAATGATATCATTGACACGATGTTTAGATTTTGCTTAGTAGGGCTATTCCAAAAGCGTATGTTATTCTACGTTATAATTTATCTCTAGATGGTATTTGAGTAAGAAATATTTATTCAAACTTTTGCATTAATATTATTCGTATAGATTATTATTAAATAACACATTTTGCAAACTAGAACGTTTACGAGAAAGTGAAAGGAAATATCGTCAATTTTCATTTCCCTTTTAAATAAGGGAAAATTACATTAAGCCAGTATAAATATTTAACTATGAATTTATTCTTACAAAGGTAGTGAATTAAAATGATAAAATAGAAATATATTGAGCAGCCACCAAACAAGCCTTATTCTATTCATTTCACCTTTTTCCATATTTTTTATAAGTTTTAAAGCCCTAGTGGATCAGTCCAGGCATTTTCGACACACTTACAAAGTCATAGTGCAATTCTTTCATTTATATAAAGAGAAATACAAATACAAATCCGCTTCTTCTACAAAATTAATAATAAAAAATCCTATTTTGCCACCGTATTTTTAGCAAAACATTTATAATAAAAAAGTAGGTGAGATTAGGCACGGTTAACACGTTGCGTGTTAAGCTCCCTACAGCCGCTTCGCATGTTCAAATCTACACACTTTTAATATCACACAAAACTGTTATGATTCCGTCATAAAACGCTAGGTAAATGGAATTTATTATGTACGTGTAAAAATACATCTATCATAGATTCAATATGCAGTTCTGATTTTCGGACCCAAGAACCTTTGATGATGTTATGTTATGAACGAAAAGTAATATTTTTCATTTTAAAAACAACAAATATCATTGCACGTTGAAGTTTGTTTTTGGCTTAGTAACCATAAATTTTGTATATTGTTAATACCCAAGAAGCTATGAAATCTAGACAAACACAGACCTCAATATATCACGGAGACGCTAAGAAAATTTTAGAAAATATTTCTAGAACATTCGAGAACAGTTTTTACCAGATATGGATCTAATAACCATCGGGTCGTGACAAAAATCAAGTACTTAAAGCTTAATGCGATCGTAGTTGCGACCTCCGCATTACACCAGCGTGGTCGAGTTCAACGCACTTTGTGAAAATCACATTTTCCGATGTCGGGGTAAGATAAAAATATTATTTTTAACTTAAACAACGATCAAATTAATTATTTAAGAGGATAGTTATGGTAATCAATGTTCATATTAGTTATGTCAATATGAATATATATATATATTATTTAGATTGATTTATTTATGAATGAATTTTGAATTATTTTTTAAAACCATTCATTTCATCATTTTCTTCCTTTTGGTAATATTTGATATTTTTTATAACCCATTTTAGTAGTTTTGGGATAAATTACCCGTATTTGAATAAGGAAATCGATGGCAGTAATTATTTATGAGAACGACATATTGTATGACGAAATAATGTCATCTAAAATTCATATTAATAACAATTACTCTATAGAATGACTGAAACAACCCCAGGATTCAACCCTTGACCTTTTGGAGAACAAAGATGAAACTGAAAACTAAGCCGCAGCATCCCTATGAGTACTGAAAATAATAACCTTACCTGTTCTTTCCGTGCCCGATTTTGTAGAGCTCAACATGTTTGAACTGAGCGTAGGTTGCCATTGTTGTTAAAAACACGAGGGGATTTTATCACACGAGAGTGCGGTCACTGTAACGACGCGTTTGGCGTGGAGTTGGACGTGCGTGCGCGACGAGGTTCGTCAGCTGACTGGCGCGCGCGGCCCGGTACCCTCGCTTAAGTCGATGCTGCTACCCTCCGCCCGCGCCGTGAAAATGAAACGCGCAGCCGCGCATGCGCGAGCCGCCACTTCCGCAACTTGTTTTGTTTTTTTTTTCAGATCCCAGTGACATATGGCAGCTCAGTGCTCAACCAGATGATCGGCGACAACAGAAGACAGATGTTCGGAACAGGTTCCGCGGTACGAAGGTAGATGACGAGTGATATGAAACAGTGCAGTTAGAAAGTTGTGCAAAAGACTTCGTCATTTCATTGTTGACAGGAGATACGATGATGGACAGTAATCTGATACGGCTTGAAACAAAAATATTATTTAACAAACAGACTGCACAAAGAAGACAGGCGAAATCTGATCCAATAGATTTGGGGGCACGGGCGAACGCACATTCAACTATATTGGTATTACAAGTAGCTTTAGTCGTGCAAAAAGTCTAAAATGTTTAACGAAAAATAAAACTGCCGTCTTTTTCCAAGGGTGGGCTTTTGGCCTTGGTGTAGCGATAAGACTGGCCGACTCACGTAGACTTAAGTATTTATCTAGTATTCAGAAGTCGAGCCATTAAATATAGCTCTGCCTTTTAAATAAAACCAGCAGACTGAGTAATCACATATTAGAATTAACGTCACAGCCTAACTGTGTGACGCACGCAGCGAAAACATGATTTAACGAGCTTTCGGTGAAAAACTGACCAATAGGCTTTTCATATACATAGGTGTTGGTAGACTATTGCAAACATGCATTGAAATAATATTAATTCAGTTGTAGAGAAAGAGTCATTTATTTCATATAAATGTTATATGAGTAATAAAATTGTTGCTGACTTGTACAAACATTCTGACGCCACAGCATCATAATTATTCCCCAGATAACTTTTAACTAACCATTGAAAAATCAGCCCTATATCATACACAATCTTAAAACGCTTACCTACGGGATCAATACCAAGATCCTGAATATCTCGCGTCAATAGCAAATGTATGACAATCTCTCCTTATAACACTGGAACAAGCTCAAAAGCAAAAAGTAGAAGCCTCCCATAAAAAAAAAATACAGAACGAAACTATCAATGTAGACAAATATTAATTAAAATTAATCCTTTATGTAGTGTTTGGCTAGATTTATAATACTCGAGTCTAGATTTTAGATGATGAGTCAGAATCAAGACGCCGTTACTAAATACACAAACAGGAGAAAGTTAAGTGACTAACTCAAATAATAATGATTATAATAATAACTGTAGGTATTGTATGCAACATAGATTTTAAACTGAGACTCAACGAAAGTGCTACGCGCTACGCCGTAGGTGGCTTGTAACAAAACCTAGTTTTTTGAGCTAATTATTTTGTTTTAGTTACTTTAATGTGTAATTATTTAGAAATTAGTCATTTTATGATATTTTTCTAATAAATTTTAGCACTAAATCTTAGAGAGAGCTTAGAATGTCATAGGTTTATAATTTGTGTGTAGGTAAGCGTGGGTACATTGAAAAGAAATCTGGACTTGAATATTTGATTTAAAATCGTCAATCTATCTTAAATATGCGTACTAAATAATACCCAAACCCTATCGAGTGAGCTTCTATTGGCTGGTGATGAGGATAACATTGTGCTGATAGTACTACTTATGTAGCAAAGAGCTAACTAGCGCAGTAAATTGATGATAACAATATTTGAAGTTTAATTTCCTGTTTAAAAATGGCATCACTTTTCCTATAACATGACCTAAATTATATAACCAGAGGTAAAATCGGATGTACTTACTATAAACAGACAAAGTTATAAAATGAACACTACACTACTTGTTCTCCTATACAATACATACTAGCTATTACCCGCGGCTTCGATCTTGTCATTTCACTACTTACACTACCCAACCTACCTCTGCTTTTTACCCTACCTTAACTTCTCTACTCTACCTACACTATGATACCTACCCTACTCTACCTACCCTTCCTTACGTACTCTACTCTACCTACTCCACCGTACACTAACTACCCTACCTTTACTACCAACCCTTATCAAATGTCCTTCTTCCAATTCTTAGCTACTCCGCTAACAATTTTGAGCTAAATCGGTTTAGCCGTTCTTGTGTTATAAATAGTGTAACAAACACAACTTTCTTTTTTAGATATACCATCAGCAAATGGCCTCTATGTACTTACTTACTTAGGTCGTCTCCAGGACGAGGGGACTTAGGATTGGATCCTTACTTTTGCCAGTCGAGACGGTAGACAAACAAAGCGTTCCGTTTCATAAGAAAAACTGTACCTCCATGTCCTCAACTTCGTTAAGACTGTCCTTTCTATTTGGGTTTTCTTTAAATAAATTCGAATACATAAATTAATTTATATGTGTTTTAATACTGTGTAGACCAATCACATTAATCAAAGACAAAACTGAAAATAAAATTTAACTTAAATAATATTACACATTGTGAATGTGAGAAAACCCCAATAATTGTGCACTGTGTTGGAAAAAGGTCGTAAGTATGTACCTACAAGACGGCGCTAGATAGTTTTTGTGCGGATTGGAATTTCTATTAACAGAACTACAATACATTTATTTCTGTCCACTACACTACAAATCATATAGAACCTTTTTGAATCGAAAGAAATAACAGTACCGATTACTCAACCAACAAGGTATAAAAACGTCAAAAGTATTGGGACTACTAATTTCTACCACAAAGAAAATAACAATCACGCTGCTTGGCTCCATTTGATCGCAGCGTGATGTTTTATAACTCATAGCACTCAAGAACATTGTACCTATCTATCAGTGAAAGAATTTTGGCCATCCGACCAGCGGTTCCAAAGATTACCCCCTACATGCAAACTTACAAATTTTACCTCTTTATTATATTAGTAGGTATAGATAGACTACATAAAGCAAAAGTATCAAAAAAATCAGCACACCCCAAAACCCATCTGGGCAAACTCAAAGAAGAATAATTAAAGAAAACGTTTCGTTTCAACTCAAAAGCCGTTCCTATTGGCTGTTCGGTTGCAGCATCGTTTACAAACACACGGAACGGCCTTTCATCATGCGCATGCGCTTCTACTGAACTTACTGTTTACTTCAAACTTCCTGGGTTAGCAGATAATGTTGCCAGCAATACATCCAACAGACATCTCTATATTTAGGAGAAAAAATCTTTTGACTTTTGATAAACAAAAGCTAGGAACATGGTAGACAGCATGTGAAGCTACCCTAATCTATCTCACTTCTTCAATATATTATCAACTCTATTCTAAGTAGAATAAAGTTGAAAACATTTTCAAGAAAAATCCCTACAGTTTTTACCAACGCTGCCAAAGTAAATAAAGTGAAGGAATCTTTATTTACTTTAGTAACCAGCGCGTGCGCCCGCTAAGGCAATCGTTACATTAGGTTTATTTATAATTTTACAAGTTAATACAACAGTTGGGTTCGGCTCTCGTTTTGTTTAACCGCCTTTTCACCGAATAAGAATAGAAACATTATGAGATTTTTTATTCTAAAGGCCAAGCGTTTTTATAAATCACTTTAAAATGGCCTATATAAGATCTACGAGTAGTTGAAACTTAAACTTCTTCTTCTCTATCTTCACCTGCCCTGGATGGCGCAAAAAGGAGTGTCTTACTGACTCAACGCCATTCCGTTCGCTTTAACCCGTACGTCCGACCAAAAATTTATGTCTTGAGACAACGTATATAAATGTAATAAATCAATAATTAATAACAAAATCGAACAAATAACATAACAATTTCCTATAATTTATTACATCTTGTATCATATTGTTTAAAATGTTATAATGTAAACAGTACATATAGTTACATTAACAGGTATGTTTTTCCCACGCGATCGTACGCACCGGGCTCGCGCATGCGCTGCGTTATCGGCGACGCGTGCGCACGACCCAATGAAACCCGATGACAGCCGTCCATTATAATATCGCTGAAGATATCATTATGACCCTTTTACTAAAAGTTAAGAAAATAACGTTTTCGAATTAAATGTCTAATCAAATCTTTTGCATATTTGTGGCCATTGCTCCACAACTCACACTGAGAAAAATTGAGCATTAAATAGCATTTATCCAAGGCGATACACACTTCAAACATATTTAGAAATTATAATTCCATGTTTCATGACAATGTTTTTCTGCGCCGTATTTGAGTGGTGTCTATATAATATATGATGGTAAAAATTATTAGGAAAATCTCACATTGGTACTTGCCAGGTTTCGCACCCACAAGAGAAGGGGAACCTAAACTTCCGGGCTACCACGACATATTATATACACCAGGAAATGTACAATATACTAATATTGCTATTAATTAAAGTGGCTGGGCAACGGAATACTGCGTAACGTAACGCGACTTCGGTTTCCGCATTGAGCAACTCATTTTGTTTCACAGTGTTGTTTTAAGCTTAGACAAAATGCTTTAGCGGAAAACGGACCGAAACAAAGATGATTGATTCCCAGTTAATTTTGAAATAAATCCATGCCGGAGATACGTAACATACATATTAAAAACATATCTTCGAAAACACACCTCCTCCTTTTTTTAGTCAGTTAAAATCGAAGATGAAAATTTTAGCAAAAGCTTCCCTAACACAAAAAGTGCATGAACTAATACAAAGCACAAAACAAAAAAAAAATATTAGCAGTTGCATGACTAGTAACTAAAATAAAAAGCGAATGTAAAAGGAAATCACGCATTCAGTTTAAGGTGCGATGTTTTATGACTAGCCATGTTCCAAATATGAAGTTCTCATTACACCTAGTGGGCGGAAATGGGATAATAAAATACTGGCTAATTGAGAGGATACCACTGTGAACCTTAATTACATTTATTTGAACTCCAAAATTGGATATCAAAATAATCTTATTACTGTTTTGTCTAGGTTACAAGTCTAATACTAGCAAAGGTTGAAGTTTGTCGGATTTTTTCTAGAATAACACATTGATCGAATTGTCATACTAAAACATTTTATCTGAATTACAATGGAATATATAAAATAACTAGCCGACCTGACGCCGTACTGCCTCAAAATTAACTAATAATTCAAAGAATAATAACAGTTTTGTTGCCTTTCAAAAATCTAATGTCAAACTAATTTTGTTTAAAAAACACGTTATAGAAATGTGACGATAATTTAAAAAAAAATTTACAAATTTTCATAATTTTTATTATATAAAATAAATCTTCTCTAAAGTT